AAAATTAATGAGTTAATATACTTAATGGTACAGTCTATACTAGAGTAAATTTTACCTATTATTGTCTGTTGTTACCTATTATCTATTATAATTAATTTGAAAATTTTTTTAGAATAAAAATGTTACTTAGCATATTATGGTATGTTTACAATGGAATGGTGACTGCCTTATGAAGTTAGTTTTCTTAATAATTCACCACCCACCTACATCCCCTTCACACTTTTCAGTTTCTACACTACTGAGAAAATCGAGGCCAACATAGATAACCACCTCAACTCCCCATCATTTCAACATACTTATCTACATCGAAATCATCCTGATCTTTTCCCCTCTTACCTTTGAGATAGACGTAATTCTTAAACATGGTTAATTTCACTATCACCTATGTACATGGCTCTAAGGATTTTACAATAAAATCACATAGCTTAATGTCTGATGCAAAAGAACTTAAGCTTCCTGACAGGGACAATAATTTCAGAAAGATTTAATCACATAGCTATGTGAGGAACAGAGAATTTAAAAAGCAATGACAAGAGGCACTAGAGAAATAAAAATTGGACCATATCATATTCACTTTAATGCATAAAAATATATAGAGTATCAGGATTTGAGTAGACATTTCACCAAAGAGAATATTCACATGGCCACCAAACTCCTGAAGAGATGCTCAACATCATTAGTCATTAGCCTTCACAGAGATGCAAATCAAACCAAAATGAGATAGCATTATTTCACTCCCACTGGGTATGATGGCTGAGTTTGGATTTTTGTTTGTTTATTTGCTTTTTAATAGGAAAATGACAGATGTTGGCAAGGATGTAAGGAAGTTAGAACCCTTATCCATTGTTGGTGGGAATGCCGAATTATACAGCTGTTGTGGAAAACGGTGTGGCTGATCCTCAAAAGCTAAAAATAGAACTTCTATATGACCCAGCAATGCTACTCCTAGATATATATCCAAAGGACTTGAAAGCAGAGATTCAAACAGACTTGTACACCAATGTTCATTGCAGCATGGTTTGTTGTTGTTGTTGTTGTTGTTAAGTGCCGTCGAGTCGTTTCCGACTCATAGCGACCCCATGCACAGCAGAATGAAACACTGCCCGATCCCGCACCAGCCCCACAATCCCTGCTATACTCGAGCCCATCATCGCAGCCACTGTATCAATCCATCTCGTTGAAGGCCTCCCCCTCTTTCGTCGACCCTCCACCCTACCAAGCATGACATCCTTCTCCAGGGAATGGTCCCTTCTGACAACATGACCAAAATAGGTGAGACGAAGTCTGGCCATTCTTGCTTCCAAGGAGCTTTCTGGCTGCACTTCCTCCAGGACAGATCTGTTAGTTCTTTTAGCAGTCCATGGTACTTTCAGCATTCTTCGCCAGCACCACAACTCAAAAGCATCAACTCTTCTTCGGTCTTCCCTATTCATTGTCCAGCTCTCACATGCATACAAGGTGATTGGAAATATCATGGCTTGTGTCAGGCGCACCTTAGTCCTCAAGGAGATATCCTTGCTCCTCAGCACTTGAAACAGTTCCTTCGCAGTTGACTTTCCCAATGCTAAACGACGTCTAATGTCCTGACTGCTGCTTCCGTTGGCATCGATTGTAGAACCAAGCAATGTGAATTCCTTGACAACCTCAATCTTCTCTCCATTGATTGTGATGCTGCTCATTGGTCCAGTTGTGAGGATTTTTGTTTTCTTTATGTTGAGATGTAATCCATACTGCAGACTGTATTCTTCAACCTTCATCAGTAGGTGCCTTAAGTCATCCTCACTTTCAGCAAGCAAAGTTGTATCGTCTGCATATCTCAGGTTGTTAATGATTCTTCCTCCAATCCTGATACCACGTTTTTCTTCATATAGTCCAGCTTCTCGGATTATTTGCTCAGCATATAGATTGAATAAGTGTGGAGAAAGAATACAACCCTGACGCACTCCCTTCTTGATTTTAAACCATGTAGTGTCCCCTTGTTCTGTTCGAACGACAGCCTCCTGGTCAAGGTACAGATTCCTCATGAGTACAATCAAGTGCTCAGGGATTCCCATTCTTCTCAATGTTATCCATAATTTGTCATGATCCACACAATCAAATGCCTTTGCATAGTCAATAAAACACAAGTAAACATCTTTCTGGTATTCTTTGCCTTGAGCCAAGATCCATCTGACAACAGCTATGATATCCCTTGTTCCACGTCCTCTTCTGAATCCGGCTTGAACCTCTGGAAGTTCTCTGTCAATATACTGCTGCAAACGTTTCTGAATTATCTTCAGTAATATCTTACTTGCATGTGATATTAGTGATATTGTTCTATAATTTCTACATTCTGTGGGATCACCTTTCTTTGGAATGGGCACAAATATGGATCTCTTCCAGTCAGTTGGCCAGGTAGCTGTCCTCCAAATCTCTTGGCATAACTGAGTGAGCGCCTCCAATGGGGCATCTGTTTGTTGAAATATCTCAATCGGTATGCCATCAATTCCCGGAGCCTTGTTCTTCGCCAGTTCTTTCATTGCAGCTTTGACTTCTTCCTTCATTACCATTGGTTCTAGATCATATGCCACTTCCTGAAATGGATGAAGATCCATCAGTTCTTTTTGGTACAGTGACTCTGTGTATTCCTGCCATCTTCTCTTGATGTTTCCTGCATCATTCAATATTTTGCCCATAGAATCTCTCACTATTGCAACTCGAGGCTTAAATTTTTTCTTCAGTTCTTTCAGTTTGAGAAATGCTGAGCGTGTTCTTCCCTTTTGGTTTTCAGACTCCAGGTCTTTGCACATTTCATTATAGTAATTGGCTTTGTCTACTCGAGCTGCTCTCTGAAATCTTCTGTTCAGCTCTTTTACCTTTCCATTTCTTCCGTTTGCTTTAGCGATTCTCCGCTCAAGGGCAAGGTTCAGAGTCTCTTCTGTCATCCACTTTGGTCTTCTCTTCTTTTCTTGTCTTTTTAGTGATCTCTTGCTTTCTTCATGGATAATGTTCTTGATATCTTCCCACAATTCATCTGGCTTTCGGTCACTGGTGTTCAATGCATCAAATCTATTCTTTAGATGATCTCTAAATTCAGGAGGGATATATTCAAGATCATATTTTGGCTCTCGTGGACTTGTTTTCATTATCTTTAACTTCAAGTGGAATTTGCATATGAGCAGTTGATGGTCTGTTCCACAATCAGCTCCTGGCCTGGTTTTGGCTGAAGATATTGAGCTTTTACAGTTGTCAAAAGGTGGAAATGGCCCAAATGCTCATCAACAAATGAATGGATAAGCAAAATGTAGTACATACAATGGAATACTACTCAGCCAGTAGGAAAAATGAAGTTACAATGTGAATGGAGCTTGAAGACATGCAGAATGAAATAAATCAATCACAATAGGACAAATAATTGTATGGCTTACATAAAAAGCCAAGAGCAGGCAGATGTATAGAGACCAAAAGTTTATTTATGGTTACGAGGGACAGGAGGGAAGCAGAGGGGGGGGGGTTATTGCTTATGGAGCACCAACCTGCTGTTTACAGTGATGGAAAATTTGCATTGATTAATGGTAATGGTTGCATAGCTGATTAATGTAATTGATGTCAGTAGGTTGTACACCTGTAAAAAGTTGAATTGGCAAATTTGTGGTAGATATTTTTACAATAACAGCAACAAAAAGAGAACTCGCAGAGTTTGCTCATATACGTACAACCATACAGCCCATGGGATTTGTTTTTTTGTTCAGAGGTTTATGATCATGATTTCATGGGGCATCCCAGTTAATGGGCATGTATATTGCTTCTGTGCTACCTCCTAGTTCGTTGAGTAGTTACTGGGATCTTAAATGCTTGAAAGCAGTCATCCAAGGCACAAACATTAGTTTCTATTTGCCTGGAAAAACAGAGGATCAGGAATCGGGAAGAAATGGAGTTTGCCTCCGTGGAAAACTGCCTCTTTTGCTATGAGACCAGAAGAACTAAACGGTGCCTATCATTACTTAAAGTTTTGATCAAAGATTCCATAGAAGAATCCTAATCAAAAGGGAGAAAATGAGGAATAAAATTTCAAATTCTCATGGAACCTAGAATTTCTAGAGCGATGGAGGATGAATGAACTCCCAAAACTACTGCCATGAGATAAACCTTCCAAGTCTTAACCAAAACAATAATTTTAAGCCAAACAATAATTTAACTCAGTTAGTAAAGAATGTCTGCCCTGAGCATTGAGTTCTTTTAAAGAACTATCTATATGGAATCTCATTGATACTAGTAATTTGAAATGTTGGTTAGGAAGCAGTGATTTTTCCTTAATGAGGGAGGAACAGTTCAGAAAAAGAGGGTGAGAATGAACCCAGTGTCACTGAATTGTACATGCAGAAACTATTTAGTTGCTATGTGTTCTGCCATGTGTGTTCTCTGTAACAAAATCAAGTATTAAGACTTTCAAAAAAAGTATTGTTGTTGTCGTTATTTGCCGTCGAGTCGGCCCCAACTCACAGTGACCCCTCCTTGGGTTTCCGAGGCAGTATCACTACGGAAGTAGGATTGCCCAACCTTCCTTCCGAGGGAGGAGTGGCTGGTGGGTTTGAACCGCCAGCCTTCTGGTTAGCAGTCAAGTGCCTTAGCCACTACTAACTAACTAAAAAAAGTATACAGACTGAAAAAATACATAGTTATTTTATTTGGGCCCTGGGTTACTGGTGCTTGACAGAATGATTTTGTTATTTTCTAATTCAAAAGAAAACAGTAGGTTAAATTAAGTACTATGAATTAAGTAGAGTTTTATAAAGGATTACCAATAGTTTGATAATAAAATTTCCAACAAACTCTGAAGAAGAGACATTAAATAGTTAATGGGAGAAAAAAACATAATGGGTATCTATTATTTTCTTAAAAGATAAGAAATAACATGAAAAGAATGTAAAATTTTTGCTGGTACAATTTCATTGCAGTGAAATACAGTAATCATAACATACTAGAACTTTTTCTTTCTCTTCTCTCATAGGTTATTTGGCATGGATGAATGTTCAGTGGGAGGAATAAAATTGACTGAACAGACTTCTTTCTTATTAGGGAGTGCAACCATGGCAGCTAGACTCATGGATATAGGAAATTCATTTGGTGATCAAACTGGTCACTTAATTAATAGATCTAGAAACCTTTTGGAAGAAGAAGATGATGATGTTGTATTTATTGAATCTATACAACCTCCCTCAGTTTCTGCAGCAGCAGTAGCTAATCAAAACAACATATTTGCGTCATCAAAAAGGGAAAAGCTACAAGGAAACAGTTCCATAATTCTTCCTTCTTCAAGAGATTTAACTTCTCAGAAGAGAAATATAAGTGAGACAATTGTCATTGATGATGAAGAGGATATAGAAACAAATCATGGGCAAAAGAAAAATTCTTCCAGTTTTATTGAATGGGGATTCCCGGGAATTAAAAACAGAACCAAAGATTTGGATTTCTCCACTTCCAGTCTTTCAAGAAGTAAGGTAAATGCAGGAATGGGTAATAGTGTTATCGCTACAAAATCAACTTGAAATTCATATTACTTACATTACAACCTTAGGAACAGGTATAAGGTCTGTGAATACTGAGAGAGATATGAACTTAATGATTACACACACTGTAGAATACCAACTTGAGAGATGTCGCTAAAGGACTTCAGTGAAGTAATTTTGGTGTTAATATACAAACGTACACCCCATCTTTAACTTCACAGAACAAGACTGGAGTAGGACCTTTTAATCCTGGTAGAATGAATGTGGCAGGAGATGTATTTCAGAATGGAGGATATACAACTCATCATAGTCCTGGTAAGCATCTAGTGATATTAAATATTTTCACTCTACCTCAAGTAAATAAACTTTTAGATGTTCCTTTTTAGTAATCTTGGCACTCTTGTGAAATACTTTATTCTCTTCATATTCATATTAAGATAGGATACAGTACTTAATGAAACTGCTGTCTACTTGGACAGCTAAAGTGTTTTAATCAAAAACACCCATCCTATTCTCTTCATCAGATTCCTTGTTTTTGTTTATTTTAATAAAAATTTGTAGAATAAAGAAAAGGATAACGAATAAGGAACAAAGTATTATAATGATTGAATGGTATTTAATTTATATTATAATTATATAACTTTAGATTTCAGTTTTTGCTTTTTAATTGTTTCCTTTTGGACTGCTTGTCTTTTTAATTTTTAAACCAGCATTTCATTAATCATTTTCATTTTTAACAGGGGAACTATGTTCTTGCCTTTAAATCAAAGACCTATATTTAAAAATTTTTATGTTGACAGTCTTGTTCTGATAAAATATAGTGGAAGTGACCAAAAGATATTAGCATTTTTTGTGTATGTGTGGATTTTTCATGATTTTAGGGCTTTTTGTTTTATATGATTTTAGTGCTTTTAGCTATTTGACCAAATTAGAATTTTGGAGGACTGAAAAATAAGCAGGATCTGAGAAACCTAATCAGTGTTAATGCTTTAATGGAATGCTAGTGTTCTTTTTTTTCTTTTATGGAGTCCCTGGGTGACACAACGGTTAAGTGTTCAGCTACTGGCTAAAAGGTATGGAATATGGAACAGTTCTACCCTGTAACACACAGGGTCACCATGAGTCAGAACTTTATTCTCTAAGAAGTATATCTTTCTGGCATAATTGTTCAAATCCTTTCAGAGGCACCTTGGAAGAAAGGCCTGGCAATCTACTTCCAAAAGGTCAAAGCCATTGAAAACCCTATGGAGCACAGTTCTGCTCTGATATACTTGGAGTTGTTGTAAGTTAGAATCAACTCTATGGCAGCTGATTCAGTTTTTAGATTCCCCTCCCCCACTCTGGTTATGAGAATAGTATAAGATTGTTACAGAATAATTTGAGGAAATAATGGTTAAAAATAAGAAAATAATGTCACCTCACCTCACTAACTACAAGTTACTACTGTTAAAAGTGTTTTCTTTTGATCTCTCTCTCTCTTTAAATATAAAAATACTAAATACATAGTTTTGTGTCCTGTCAATTTACTTGATCTAAATTTAAGTTTTAGTGGCTATAAAATATTCCTTCATTGGAGGTACCCAGACCATAGGAGGTACCCTACTTTTTTGAGCATTTACATAATGTCTTAGTGATGCAGTGCTGCTATAACAAATACCACAGATGGTGGCTTTAACAAACAAATTTATTTTCTCACAGTTGGGAGGCTAGAAGTCACAGAGTTTCAGGTGCCACTCTAGGGAAAGGCTTTCTCTCTCTGTTGTCTTTGAAGGAAAGTCTTTGTCTCTTTTGAGCATGTGCTTCTCGGCAATCTTCATGTGGCTGCTCATCTCACTTGCTTGTTTAATCTCTTTTATATCTCAAAAGTGATTGACTTAAGACACATCCCACAGTAATACTGTCTCATTAATAGCCAACCCATTCCCAAATGAAATTATAACCACAGGTATCCCACCAAACCCCACTGCCATCCAATCGATTCCTTCTCATAGAAACTCTATCAGGATAGAGTAGAACTGCCCCATAGGGTTTCCAAGGATGTAGATATTTACCGAAGGAGACTGCCACATCTTTTCCCCATGGGGCAGCTGGTGAGTTCAAGCTACCTATTTTGTGGTTGGCAGCTAAGCATGTTAGCCACTGCACCATCAGAACTCTTCTAACCACAGGTAAACTGATTAGGACTTACGACACTTTTTTTTGTTTTTTTAAAGAACCCATTGCTATCTAGTCAGTTCTGACTTATGGTGACCCTGTGTGTTACAGGGTAGAACTGTTCCACAGAGTTTTCTTGACTGAAAGTTTACAGAGCAAGTTCATTTTCCATTCATATTTCATATACCAATACCAAGTTCAACATTTCATATACCAATCCCCACAATGTAACAACAGCTCTCTTCCCACTTCCTCTCTCTGGTGACCTGTTCCCTATGTCTTTCCTTCCTATGCATTCCTACGCTTTGCACTGTCTGCCTATGCAAATGCTGTCCTTCTGATCTCCATGGTTGCTCGTTCTAAGGAGTATACCTTTCTGGTGTAACTGTTACCTCATAGGCTTGTCTGTTGCTTCCCTGGAAGTTAAGACATGGGAGTGAATTCAATTCCAGGCCTGAAGGGTCACTAGGGGCTGTAGTCTCAGGGGTTTCACCACTCTCTCTCAGACCAGTAAGCCTGGTCTTTTTTAGGGCACGAATAGATATGTGCACATCTATGTTCACTGCAGCACTATTAACAATAGCAAAGAGACAGAAACAACCTAATTGCCCATCAATGGATGAATGGATAACCAAATCATGGTACAATACACACATTGGAATACTATGTAACACTGTATAATAACGAAGACTCCACAAAACACCTCATTAATGTGGATGAACTTGGGGGGCATTATGCTGAGCAAAATAAGTAACCACAGAAGGACAAATATTGTATGAGTCCACTACAGTAAAAATGAAAGGAAAGGTTTACACATGGAAGGAAACTTTCTTTGTTGTTACCGGGGATGGGAGGGAAAGGAAGGGAAACTGCTTTTTTCATAAGGAAGCAGGAAATCAATTGTCTCTCTACTGCACAGAATTCATTTGTATATCAAATCATTATTTGTATTGCTATTTGTTATCTGATACAAAGTTATAAAATAGCCCAAAAACAATGAAAGGTACAAACACCACAACATAGTTTTCTATGGAAGATACCAGTAGAGTAATCATTTTAACCCATTTCAGAGGTTTTCCCAAAGTTTCTTAATACCTTCAGTGAATATCATGTCTTATTTTCTCAGTATTGATAAAATATGTTTATAATAGACCTCAATAAGAACATAAACTGGGACAATATGAAAAGAGGTGAGGAACAGCCAAGTGTTGGTGGACTGGGTAAAGGAGGTACTCAAGGGAAGCTTTTTTAATCCAAATCAATTCAGCTATATTTTCTAATCAATAGATCTATCTTTTTCTCCTTCAGTACCAGAAGCTCAATACTGATGTTGTGAGCTGCCAACAAGGCATTCTGTGATTCAGAGTGACCCCATGCACAATAGAAGAAAATGCTGCCTGGTCTTGCACCATCCCCATGTCAGTTACAAATCGAACCACTGCAATTCACAGGATTTTTATTGGCTGATTTTCAGAAGTAGACCATAAGGCCTTTCCTCCTAGTCTATCTTAGTCTGCAAGCCTCCACTGACAGATGGGTGGTAGCTGTTCATATGGTGCATTGGTCAGGATGTGAACTTGGGTCTCTCACATGGAAGGGGAGAATTCTACCACTGGACCATCTATGCCTTCAGAATACCTCTCATAAAAAGTCTCAGTATGACAGGAAAAAATCTTATAGGCTAAAATGGCTATAATTCTCTTTCCAAAAGTGACTGCAGTTCATCAAATAGCACTCAGAAAAGAATAAAATGACTAATTAGGTAATTAAACACCATGACAAATACTTTTGACCCATAAAACAGTAGGATGTCTCACCAATCCACACAATGCCAACACAAGACTGTTGCAGTCTTCCAACCTGGCAATAAAATGGAGATTCTTATTGGCAATGTAACTCTTCATTTCAAGACAGAACGATGACACTGGAGGAAAAAGAACCTTGACATAATCATCAAGCCCAGATCTTGCGCTCATTATATTCCTACACTAACCAATTCCTAGATATTTATCTTACTTTTTCTGCAGCTACATTAATTAGGGTTTTTTTTTTTTTTTTTT